ACAGAAAGTGAGAAATCACACCCGAGGGGGAATAGCCATGCCACAATCTCTTCTCCTCCATTCTCCTCTTGGAATTTTGGACACACACACATCTGGTGTGAGTTTTAGGCTACCAGTCCGGTGAGTCTATTTGAGTCCAGAACTCGAACCATGGTCAGCTATGTGGGAGTCCAGCGACATAACCATTATGCTATTTGCTGGCCCCAGTGAGAAGCATTCTTATCACAACAAAACTTCTGCTGCTGCCGACTGTCCCTTGTGGAATGGCTGGGTTTGGGAGTTGAGGTGTGATGTTTAGAACTGCATGTTCAGATTTTGACTGCTGCCTGTCAACAGCTTTTTCTTTTGAACAATTGTGTCTCTTTTTCCAGCAGTGGTTTCTAGAAATCCCAAGGGCTACGAGAAGAGAGGAAGTCCCACGCAGCTTGCTGAAGCCGTGAGATCTTTACTGCAGACATCGAAAACAGAAGATGCAAAAGTACTCAGGCTGCACTTAAGAAAAATCAATACCCACAGACTTTGGAAGAAAAGTTACTTTCCATTTTGGAAGAGGCAAATCCGAGATAGTGACCTTCCTCCTACCTGGCAGAAAATTATATCCCTTAAACAAACAAATCTTTCAGAATTTCAATATGTAGTGAGAGAAAAATGAAAGACATTTCTTTTGAAGGGAACTTGAGGGATGTGTCATAATCAAGAACATGGGGAAGAGAGTTGAACTGTTGGCCAAAAAACTTAGTCATCAGTTGGGCTCATATTGTATTAGCCGTCTCTTCTCTGCTGAAGATTGAAGAGATGACTCTCCGTTATTAAGAAAGAGAGTCTGGGTTGGCAGCTATCTTTCCTGACAGGACAAAGTTTGGAACTGGAAGAGTTGGGAAGATGAGTCTGGTCATTGGCACAAGCTGGCATGAAGTTTTTTCATCTTAAGGGAAAAATGTTCCAGGCTCTCAGGGGACCAGTTGACACTGGAAATGGAAGGCTCATTAGACAAAGGACTTCCTAAAGTCACCAAGACCAGAGAAAGGGTAGCCATGCACAGCAGGGTGCAACTGCAATCCCAGCAACCCAGGAGGCTGAGGCAAGAAAATCCTGAATTCAGGTCAGCCTGGGCAACCCAGACCCTGACTCTAGGAAAAAAGTTAAAAAATAAAAAAAAAAAAAGGAAGGGTGAATGAGTGCCCACAAGGGCAGGCTGAAGAGGCCAGGGTGAATCCTAGCGGAATCTTTCTGGCCAGGAAAGAGAATGTGCTAAAAGCTCAGTAAGGTCAGAAAGGCCAGTGTGAGGTCTGAAGGAACCAGTTAACCAAGAGACTTTTGCTTGGAGTCAACATTCTACCAGACCTTGAGGGCTTCCAGATTAGGCTCTAAATTTGAATAGTTCAGTCAATACAGAATATAATCTCTAACAGGGTAAAGGGAGGAAGAAAGGGTGGGGAGGCAGTGTGACATCATGGAAAAAGTTAAGGCTTTGCATCCAGCTTTACTGTGTGATCTTGGGTAAATTACTTAACCCTCCAGGCTTCAGTCCTTTCCCTTGTTAAATGAACATAAGAATATCTCCTTTGAAAGGCTGTAGTGAGGATTCAGTGAGAAATGCCACAGAAGGCATCAAACACAGGCCCTGGGAACTATAGGTGCCCAACAACATTCATTAGCTTCTTTCTCCTTCCAAAAGCTGTGTTTTTGAGTCAATTATTTGAGGTCTAGAGCTGTGTTGTCCAACACAGTGACCAGTAATAACTATACACATCTTTCCAATACTTTAAAAGTGTCTAGTCTGGGGAACCAGCAGTTAGCGTAATGGCTATGTCGCTGGACTCCCACGTAGTCGACTGTGGTTCGTGTCCCAGACCCGGTGGCTTAAAACTCATGCCAGGCGCGTGTGCGTGCATGCCCAAGATCCCAAGAGGAGAATGGAGGAGAAGGGATTGCAGTGTGGCCATCCCCCCTGGGGGGGTGATTTCTCGCTTTCTGTCTCTATGTCTCTGTCTGTCTGGCAAGCGCACACGCCCTATAGCAAAAACCTCTCAAAAAAAAAAAAAAAGTGTCTAGTCTGAATTGAGGTGTGCCATAAGAGTAAAACACAACACCAGATTTGCAAAACTTTGTATGAAAAAAATTGTAGAGCCAATTCTGGTGCCTAGTGGTTAAGAGTACATGGATCCCACATGGCTGACTCTGCAGTTTGAATTCTAGACCCAGTGGCTTGAAAAGCGTGCTGGGTGCAAATGTATGTGTGCGCCTCAGAGCCTGATGGGAGGAAGTAATTGAGGAGAAGGGATTGTGGTATGACCTTCCCCCATGGGGGAGAGGGTACTTTCCCCCTTTCTCTTTGTCTGTTCCTCTCTGGCAAGCTCATGCACTTTCTGGAAATTTTTTTTAATGTAAAATTGCTTAATAATTTTACAGTAATTAAATGAGGAAATAATAATTTGGATATGTTGGGTTAAATAAAACAAATGATTAGCTTAATTTCACCTATTTCCTTATACTTGATTTAATGTGGCTACTAGAAAAATGGGAAATTACAGGCTCACAATTTATTCTTAGCAGACATTAGATAAAGGCAAGTGTTGAGAAGTTTGCTCAAGAAGCTCATTCTTGTCTATACCTTGGGTTTGGATTTTAAATTGTTCCACTGTGGCATTCCAGTAGAAGACTCCCTTGTTGGGACCAGCAGTTAGCATAATGGCTATGTCGCTGGACTCCCATGTAGTCGACCACGGTTCGTGTCCCGGACCCAGTGGCTTAAAACTCACACAGGGTGCTTGTGCGTGCATGCCCAAGATCCCGAGAGGAGAACGGAGGAGAAGGGATTGCGGCATGGCCATCCCTCTTGGGGGGTGATTTCTCACTTTCTGTCTCTGTCTGTTTGGCGAGAGCACGTGCCCTATAGCAAAAACCTCTCAAAAAAAAAAAAAAAAAAGACTCCCTTGTGGGGGTGAGGGATGTCATCCAAGGCTCAACCAAAATGATTGGAAGTTGCTCATGTGCCCCTAGTGGCCAGGTGTGGTGGTGGCCACAATCCAGAGAATGGAGATAAGGTATTTCAGAGAATGGAGGTGGGACAGTTAGGACAGCTGGAGGTGGATTTGGCTGAGAGATTCGCTTCAAATTTCTCTACCTTTCTTTACTGCAGGATGATGGCCCCAACCACTTTTTCAGAAGACTCCCCCCCCCACCCCACCTTACATATGAACTTGGCAGGAAGCAGGTTCCCACCAGGCAATAACAAACACAGGTGCAAGAGAAAATGCCACTTCGAAGCCATCTTTAGAAAACCCCAGAGTTTCCAGAGAAATGAACAGCAGACATTCACAGACATGAGAATGTTCTTTTTTTCTCTCCCTCCCAAGAAGTGTGGTTCGTGATTGTTTTTAAAACTGTACATTTCACTGTACATTTTTCTTTTTTTTAGCAAAAGAGAAGATTGGCATTTATATTCTGACCACAGGAATGTTGCTTTCCAGAACTCCAAGTCAGAAACATGAAAACACAAGAGCAAGTACACATCATGTCCCAACCGAGCTCGGAGCCACCGACAGGGCGATGACTTGGTTTCTCCCCTGCCGCTGTCCACCACCTTCCGTCTGAGGGTCTGACTCCAAAGGCAAAAAGAGAGGTGGTATCTGAGACCACTTCCACAATGGCTACATTTTGAAAGGATGAATGGGAAAGAGGCAGAGAGAGAAAAGCAGAGGGAAAAGGAGAAGGGAAAGAAGGAGATTGGGAGGGGTTTCCTTTTGAGTCACCCACTTCTGTGGGTGCCACTGTGACTGGGGAGGCAATGTGCTCCGGCACTGGGACTGGACTGGAAAATTAACTTTTGGTCTCAGGAGAGACTGGCCTGGTTTGATAATGACCTTGGCAGGACCAGAAAAGAACTGGGGAAGGGAGGAAATAATAGGAAGAAAAACAAAAGTGAAGCCAAGAGAGTGGAGGGAAGGTGAGGAGTGAGAAAAAGAGCAGAGAGATAAAAGAGGAGGGTGAGAAAGGACAAAGGGATTTGGGGGCTCCCGGGCTGGAACCAGAAGGCAATCCTGCATAGACGATTCCCACTCCTACCTTGTGGCTGAGGCTAGGGATCAGCAGCTCAGCTCCAGGTCTGAACCCCTCAGAACTTTTCAGCCCCAAATGGCCGCACCTGTGTACTTTGTAGGCTGTGTGACAAGTGGAAAGAGAGAGAAGACCCAGCAGGAGAGGACAGAGGTCTGTGAGGAAGCTTGGAAGAGGAAAGAATGAGTCGGGGAGCTCGAGGGAGAGGTAGTGCATTGGCGATGAGGAGAAAGACCCAGAGGGAAACAGAACAGGAGGGGCAGAGATGCAGGGGGATGCCATTGAGACTTGTCTAAAGCATCCTCCCAGGCCACAACTCCTCTGCCCTTTCTCTTGCACTGACTGAAGAGTTGGGGTTAATTCCTAGATGAAAAGGAGCTCATGTTCCCCACCCATTTCCATCCTGTCATTTCCAAGATTGGATTCTCCTCAGGAAATCAAGTGAAGGCACCCCCATGTCCTACCCTGAGCCACCGTCTTCAGGAACAAGCAAGGGACAGATTTTGGACATAGAACTGCCCTGGTCAGGGTTGGAGATAGGGTCACAGATCCCAAACCTCACCCTCAGGAAGTAGGTGGCCTTGGAGTCTGCCCTGACTTGTTAACGCACTGTGTGACCTTGTGCTCTGGGAGAGGGACAGAGGGTCAAAGGTGGGATGATCGCAAACACCTCCCTTAGCTTCAAGACCCTGTGATTCTAAAAGGCTTCAGCTTTCTCCCTCCAAAGCCTCTAGAATTCTCCCTCTGTAAGGAGGACAGGGACTGCTCTGCAGCTTTGACTCCTGGTACAGCTGAGCTGGGAAGCATGGCATTAGAGTCATGAAGAGGTCATTATCCTTTAGACTGGAAGGGAATTGGAGACCTTCTGGTAAAATCCCAGTATTTTGCAAATTTGGAAACTTGAGATCCAAAGAGGGAAAAAGGTCTTGCCCAAGTTATTCAGCTCATTATCCACCTGGCTCGAAACCCAGACTCAGAGCTCTGGACTCAATGCCCAAAGCATCCCACAGTGCTTTCCTTACAGGAAGCCCCTAGGCCCAGCACATTCTTATAGGGACATTCTGTCCCAGCTTCCCAGACGAGGGGGCAAACATCCCAACGCAGCTCCAGGAGCTGAGATCCCCTTATTACCTTTCCCCTCCCCACATGTAAGAAGTTCTGTTCCCGCTGCTGTGATGGGTGTGGGGAGACCTGTTTGAAAAGCAAAGGATCAGGTATCAAGGACACACCCTCCCAGAATGGGGATGGTGGTGGTTGGGAAGGAGGGATCTAGGCAGGGTCTCTGCTGCCTTCCCCCAAAGGAGAGTAGAACCAAAACCATTCCCTCTCTTGTTAGTTGGCCACACCCAGCCACTCCCAGGGCTTCCAGGAATAACCCTTTCACAGGTAAACTCTCAATTTACTATGTGAATGAAGAAAAGGAGTCTGGGAAATGAAAAAAAAAATAAATTAAGAAAGAAAAACAACACTGGACCCATAAGCAATCCAAAGCCGCTTGCTTGTAGGCTACATTTGTGGTTAGAAAGGCAGAGTCCGGCCTTTCCAAACACTCAGGGCTCAGTCTGACACGTTAGCGAGTCCACATTCCCTGAGCACACCCCGGCTGGGTGATGGGGGACAGGCCTGGGAAAATGATGTGGGGTGTGGGGGTGGGGGTGGGGGGACAAGAGGCCTTTGACAGGGAGACGAAACTGTCCCTGGATGTAAACATCACCATGGAAACTCCACAAAGACTTGCCAATAAAGATCCTTTCCCCTTCTTCCACCCGGGGGAGGCCGGAAGAAGGCTGCCCACCACCCGGCCTACACGGTACTCTCCATCACCCACTCGGAGCTGCCGAAAGTCCCCCGGGCCCCCACTAGGTCACTCTCCTCAAAGGGCAAGAGCATGCCGTTGACAGACAGGCTGCGCTTCGTCCAGATGTTCGAGACCCTCCGAGGGGGGCTGTAGCCACCGGGGGCGACCCCTCCTGCCGTGGCTGCGCCTGCCGCGAAGTCCCCCATGTCAAAGGAGTGGCTGCGCTTGGCCTTGCCCTCCAGGGGCAAGGGGAGCAGGCTCCTGGCCCGGGCCGCGGGGGCCCCTAGCAGGGGCTCTCGGTCCGAGTGGTGGCCCCTGGCCGATGTCCCAGCCCCCCTCCCGGCTGGAGTCCTGGAGTCCAGCAGCTCCTCCTTTCTCTGACTCTTGAGGTCCAGGGAGGCGAAGGCCCCCATCAGGCGGTCAAGGTTGGGCTTGGGGCGGGGGCCGGGGGGCGGGAGCCTCCAGGGGCCCCGCCCCAGTCCCGCAGCCTCCCCGCTGCCCAGGGAGCTGGGAGAGGAGGAGTCACTGGCTCGCGCCAGGCTGGCACTGAAGTCGCCCAGCTCGTTCCGCACCACCACCTTGGGCTGCCCCTGCGGCGGGGCCCCTGCCCGGGCGCCGGCTGGGGGCGGGCGGTGTTGTCTGCGAGTACACGTTGCTGACGGCCGCCACCATCTTGCCGGGGGCCCCGTGGTTGCAGACCTTGTAGCGCACCATGAGGATGACGATGAAGACCAGCAGCGTGGCCACGATGATGCCGCCGATGACCAGGATCATGGTGCCGCCCAGAATCTGGCTGTGCATGGAGCGGCACTGCGGGTAGTCGGCCTTGGTGTGTGGTGGTGCCCGTGGGCGCCGGGCCAGTGTCGTCCCACATGGCCAGCACACACAAGTCGTAGCCGGTTCCGGATACCAGGTTGTTGACCACGAAGGCCTTGTTGGAGGCTGGGATCATCCTGGGAGGGGAGCAGACATACAGGGTGAGGGGTGGAAAGGCAGGGTGATGGGGAAGGGACAGAGGCAGAAATGGAGAGAGAGACAGAGAAATGGGCCAGAGCGAAAGAAAGAGCCAAAGGTGAACCAACAGGAAAGGGGAGAGAAAGAAGGGGAGAGGTGGGAGAGGAGAGGAGGGAAGGGAACAGGAGGGTGGGAAGGGCAGGCAAGGGCCAGGAATAGAACACAGGAAACAGTGACAAAGAAAGTGATTCAAGGAGGGAGATCCAGGTAAGGAAACAGAGAGACAGTTGGGGTGAATGGGAAGGCGAGAGATGAAAGATTCAGGCGAGGCATGCCAGAGGGAATTGTAGACAAAGACGGGAGGTCAGGTGAGGGAAAATGACCCGGAAGGTGTGCAGTCAAAAAGGCAGTGAGTAATAAAGATGCAGGGAAGGAGAAGGCAGAGAGAAGGGGGACGTTTCAAGGTGGATGTAAAGAGGAGAAAGGAGAGGGACTCCACAGAGTCGAGAGGGGACCCACAGGAGAGGGCAGAGGGGGACAGAGGGAGGCAGAGAAGTTAAAGATGTGAAGAGGCAGCTGTTATCCCTGAAGAGACACCCCAGCTCGCTTCCCTTCTGTTTGCCACAGATGTCCCCTCAGTCTCTGGGAAGTAGGTGGGGGTGAGAGAGTCACGTGGGTGCTGGCCTGGCCCCAGCCTGCTCTCCTGAGGCTTAGCCCACCTTGTCCTGTCCTCTGGGATCCACCGGGTCACCGTCAGCACTTGCTGAACCCTTCTGAGCTCTTCCTTTCGGCTACGTGTGCTGAGTGCGAGTCAGGGTCCTGCCCTGAAGAGCCAACACCACCCTCATCTCCAAGGAAATCGCTCCCGACTTAGGACAGGAGCTTTTACTGCTGTAGATGAGGGTGCATGGGGTGGGGTGGAGGGGATCTATGTACAGAGAACTGGAAACAGAAGAGGGAGTGTGCTGTTCCGAGGTAGAAGGGATGGGCATGCTGAAGAATGGAAGGCAATTCTCCATCCCAGAGGGAAGAGATGATTCCTCCCTCAGCCCCAGAAGGCCAGGCTCATCTAAAAAGCTTGGGGGAAGGGTTTCTCTAGCCAGAAACATCCTGGCTGGTTCTTCCGCCTCAGAGGAGGGTCTGAAAGGGGCAGCAGACTCCCCAGACTGGGGCCTGTCCACTGAAGCCTGGGTCTCTTGCACATGGACCTGCAGGAAGCCTCAAATCCTGACCTCCAAAATCTTTGAGGTGTGAGGCCCTCTGCCATTTCCAGAGATGAAGCCTGTGCCACCCCATAAACATTCCTACAGAGATACTCACCTAGGCCTGGATGTACTACCCTATAACTTTCTTAGGAGCCCTTTCACGCACTCAAAGTCCCCCACTCTCCTAGTCCCTGCTACTTGAGAACGAAAGGGCTCCATCAGCTCCCGTCAGTCTCTCAAATACAAAGCCAGGCAACTTAATTGAGATCTCAGATATGAAATACCTAAGCCGGAACACTTCCACCTGGGAACCCCGCACGGAGGCTGGTGTTGACAGGCAGGTATTGACATCCCGTCAGTGGCCAGGCCCGGAGGCTGCAGCTCTCTCCTCACCCTCCAGGCCTGCTCTGTTGCTGGGGAAGCAACCTGGAGGAAAACTGAGCCCTCAAGCTGACACAGTGCATGGGGTGAGAGGGCTAGATCTAGCAAGGAGAGCCCCTTAGCTCTGTCTTCACAACCAGCTTTACCTGGACGTCGTGGCAGTTCTGTGAGGGCAATGATGAGTGCACCCATGCCACACTCCAGCTGAAACTGAGTCTAAGTGATGTGCCCGAGGCCACACAGCTGAGACTGCTAGGATGAAGTTGGGACTTTAACACTAGCATCTGGGTCATAGACTAGGTTTGCCCTTTATCATACAACAGAGATGGGGGGGAGGGTTCCCCCATTTCAGTGAAAAGTCCACCTTGGCCTATGGTTTGGCAGCCACACCCCTTACCTGGAGCAGTGCTCAGAGCTCACCATGGCTCACACTCCTCTACTCGCAGGATCCCTGGCCTGCTGGTGACTGGGTCCATGGACCCCTTTGTAGCCAGTGCTAAGGAGTCACCCGAGTTCCCCAAGTCTAGTTCCTCCCCTCTTCCCAACAGTTATTGGAAGATAGTTACTGTTACTATCATCTTCACTTTCCTGATAAGCAACCAAGGCACAGAAAGGTTAAGCTACCTGTTCAAGAATGCCCAGCTAGTAAGAGGCAGAGCTAGGCTTCCAACCAGTCAGTCAGGCTCCAGGGCCTGCACTCCTGACCGCTGAGCCATGCTGCCCCATCTTCCTGCCCTCCCTGGGAGATTTTGTGCAGGACGCTGCCTGGCCTCTTTCC